CAGCTTGCGGGAGCTAGTCCAGGAGTGAGGGACATGCCTGTGGTGCGGGCTTGGACAAGAGCACACACTGTTTGGGGCACTGGCATGTGGAGAGCTTCCTTGACAAGGGCCACCCTTGAGTCTGGCAGCAAGGACCGTAGGAACCTGGCGCTGGGAGAAGTGGGGAGGGTGGTCCAAGTGGCAGACTAGTACAGACGTAGGTGGAGTGGGAAGCATAAGGATAATAATAACAGACACTTGTGTGACAATGACCATGAAGTGGCATTGATTTTCCTGGCCTTACAGATGAGAAACCAAATTCCACACAAATTCTTTGTTTCTTAGAATGGAAGAGTATATGTGCATGTTATGTCCAAGATCATTTTTTCCTCTTTGCATTTGGTTGTTTTATCATCTGAGTAAAACACCTATGCTTGGAACATGGTGGAGAAACAATTACATTTAAAAAATCACGGGTGTGAGCCGGGTGCAGTAGCACGCCCCTGCAGTCCCAACTACTCTGGAGGCTGAGGCGGGAGGATCGCTTGAGTCCAGGAGCTAGAGACTCGCCTGGGCAACACAACAAGGTGAGACTCTTGTCTTTAAAAAAACAAACCAAAACAAAAATCAAACCAAACTGGTGTTATGATTTTCATCAAGGCAGTTTATCTTAGGAGCTACGCAATTCCACGTTTTGCTAATGAGCAGTTTATACTGAGGCAGTCTACGTCTATTTATATGTGTGTCAGTGTAACTAGCTATCATGTGAGGTTGGCCATTTTACTCTCTCGAGTCTCAGGTTCCTCATTAGAAAGAGCTTTGAGGTGGCTCTTTTACTGTGAATTATGGGTTTCTGTGAATTATTTCTTCCAGAGAATGGTCAGTTTCCTCAGAGTGGGATCTATAAACAAGGACAGCTGGACAGAGCCAGGGCTTCAGGAAATGACTGGGCACTCTGCAAGGGCTTGTACTGCACTACCTTGGGCGACAGAGTGGTCAGCTTGGGTCATGCTAGGTCACACAATTTTCGGAAGAAAACTTTGTTTTTCATTTAGAGAAAACTTCATGCCATTGGATAAGTTTGTGACTATTCTTTTTGGGTGTATATACATATATGCACAAACATTTAATGTATATATTTAAGGTATATTGAATGTACTTTTATAAGTATACAAATAAGCCCCCTAGATTGGTGGTCCTCTACCCTGGCTGTACTGTGGAATCACCTGGGGAGCTTTGAGGGTTCAGGGTGCCCAGGCTGTACTCCAGATGGCTGGGTAGAGCCCAGAGATCATTATTTGTTTCCAAGCCCTAAGTGAGAGCTTAATGTCCTAGGCTTCACATTAGTTACTAAAACATACTTTTCAAGATGTCATGATTTAAAAAGCATTAAAGTAGATTATGCAGATGTGCCAATGGATCAGATGGTCACCTATACTCTAAACTGTATATATTTTATGGGTTTAATTCATTCATCAATTGAGCAAATAATAAACAAGCAAGTAGATGTAAAGTGAAAATATATCAGTTAGTGATAAGTGCTATGAATAGAAAAATAAAACAAGGTGAGAGTGTTGTGTGTGCCTATGTGTGTGTGTGTTTGCACTTGGGCAAGCAGGCTGTGCTAGACTTTCCAGAAAGTGTTCAGAAAGGACCTGCGTATTCTAACCTGGTATTAACAAACTACAGAGGAAACACAGGACTATTTAATTAATGATGGAAAAATAATTAGTAGCTATTTGAGAAAAGTGAGTTCAGTTAGGCCCTATCTTCATGCCAAATAAGACAATTAATTGTTTGTGGATGAAAAAAGTTAGATGTAAAAGAAAATGAATAATAAGTATGCCATAAAAAATGAAGAAAACAGATATAAGAATCTATTTGACCACCGAGAGGAAAGTACTGTTCTACACTTAAAAGTAATGGAAAAATCACAAAGCAAAATAATGATCGATATGACTGGATCAATATAAAACCTTCCATACGTTAACACATCAAAAGAGCTATTAAAAGTAAACTAAAGAAAAAGTTGGTCAAAACACTAAATATCTGTGAACTGGACAAAAGACATAAAGAGATGGTTCATAAACATGGAAATAAAATGGCTAATAACACATGATTAATATTTGCCTCATTTATAACCAAAAGAAATGCAGATTCAAAAAACAAGGAGATGCCACTTTTCCAGTTTGACCACTTAATTAGATTTAAAAATGGAAAATGCTCAATGCTTGCTCAAGACAATAGATGAAGACTGTCTTGCGCTATTGAGGGAGAGAGTATGAGTTATTGCAACATTTCTGGAATGCAGTTTGGCTGTATGCGTTTATCATTTAAGTACATTTGAAATGTATTCTTTGACTCAGTCACTATACTGCCATATAGTAGCACGAAGAAAATAATAAGAAATGTAGACAAATAATAATAGCTAATCTTTAAGTGGTATGTATGATTCACCAGACACTTTACAATATTAACTCATGTAACTTTTGCATCAGCCCTGGGAGATAGTATTGTTATCCCATTCTATGGATAAAGAAATTGTGGCACAGAGAGGGTAAGTAACTTGCCCAGGGTTATTCAGCTAGTAAAGGGGAGAATGGAGATTCAAATCCAGCCAGGCTGACATCAGAGCTCAGGCTCCAAAAAACTGAGTTATATGGCTTTACACATGAAGATGGCTTTGGGTTATTTCGTAACATAAAACATCTTATAAATGATAATATATCCATATAAAGCAATATTAGGTGGCAATTAAAATGATGTTAACAACAAGAGTTTTGTAACATAAGAAAATGTTCATCATATAATATTCCGTGGAAGTGCAGGATATGAAATTATTTAAACATCATCTTAATTATTGAGAATATATAGAAAAAGCCCAAGAAAACATGGACATTGAGATTATTTTCTTCTTTTGGTCTTCATTTTGTAAATGCCCTAAACTGGGTGTAAATTGCTTTGGAAATAAGAAAAATTTTAAAATAGAAAGAAAAGAAGAAAGAAACTTTAAATTTATGAAAAAGCAAAATGAGTGATATCAATAACAAACATAACACTAAAAAAAATACCCTAAAATTCCTACATGCAAGAAACTGAATATTTATATCCTCCTATGTCTATTTTATTAATACTTGCTAAGGTGTCTAAGACATTTTTCAGAATAGTTCTTTTTGTGGAAATGAATTCATTATATAATAAAATCTTAATCTCTTAAATTCACACATAAAACTTAACAAGTATGTTAAAAATTTTATATGCACACATCCACACACAGAGCTGCGTGAATATCAGCTATTTTTTTGTATACTGGGATCCTAACGTATTTCATATTGAATCTCAGAGTTAACTTATCAGAGTGCTGAATCATTTGTAATAACTTTATCTCTTGGCAGACCTTGAAAATTAAAAAAAAAAAAAAAAAATAGAAGTGTCGCTCTTTATGAGGATATGTCAACCTTAACCAGAGGAGTGACACAAAGGAAGTAACACTTTTCATTCTACCCAAAATAAAAGAATAGACAGAGCTAATAATAAAATGTAGTGTGTGGGGGCAGCAGGGAGGTTTCAAACCATAGACCTGTTCTAATTTGATTATGAACGGTTGGTACTTTCCATATACACTTATCCCTTTTGTCTTTACATTATTGATTATTATCTCTTGGAAATTCCACCAAATATTTGGTGATGTTATTCATAAAGTTGGATGTAAATGGCCTGGCAACTTAGCCTTTAAACTTTATCCTGAATTTGGGTATTAACAGTCCTATTCTTAGGATGGCGAGTGAGGGGCAGTTGTTGAGAGGGGAATTATTCTGGGCTGGAAGGAAGTCTGCTGGAACACCAGATGATTTCGTCACTGAGTAATTCTGGAGGCAGGCTTTCTCATCATCTCCACTTTGAGAATGGGCAAACAGGCTCTGAGACCTTTACGTAACTTGCCCAAGGCTGCACAGCTCATCAGGGCTCAAAGTGGAACGCCACCCACATTTGTGCGTTCTTGAAACGAGACTCTTCCATCATACCGAGTTCCCTCCTCCCAGTAAACAAGGAACATGGGTTTATTTATGAAATACTCAGACTCGGTGAAGATCTCCACTGAGGAGAAGGCTTCTTCCATCCTGCTCTGTGAAGTTGTAATTAGAAGGGTGAAGGTAGTGTTGTAATAGGATCAAAGTTACTGCAGAGCTTAGTTACATGTCACAGTAACTAGTAACTACTGCAGATCTTAGTTACAGGTCACAGTCTATGTAGAGGAGTCTGGAGGGTATGAAATTCTACTTTGTCTCTCCAGTTCCCTAAAATAAACACATGTTGGCTCGTGAGTGCAGGCACACGCACACATACACATGCCTGCTCTTCAGTGACAAATGATAGGGAGTGCTTACCATGTGCTGGGCATCATGCTGGATTTTAGTGATATAGTGATGAGCAAAATGGATTTAGTTCCTAGGTGTATGAAACTTATGTTCTGAAGAAAGAAGATGGACTTTTAAAAATTCAACCCACAAATGAGAATCTAATTACAAAACATGATGAGATTTTGGTGTGAAAAAACACACTCACACAGACACACACACACATTCCTAAGTGTGCAGAACGGCTGTTGTATGTTGGCATGTCACAAACTGTTTATTCATAAAATGATAGATTTTCTAGAAATGCTGTTGTCCTCAACTTGGGCCTTGGAGAGAGGATTTAGCAGACGAGGCCTAAAATTCATCAGACTCTGTTGTATTAGAAAAATGAGTCATTAGGGACTCCTTCTGGAAGCCAAAACTCATTGCCTTGAAATTTTATTAATTTTATATGTCTGAAGGTTCTGAGAATTGGTGACTGTATTATGGAATATGAAGATCTTCTTGGTTTTTTTTATGTTGTTTTTTTTTTAAAGTTTGTGTGCCAGAAGATTTTTTTTTAAACCTTCTTCATAAGACAGGTATGCTTGTGTTTGAAAGCTTTAGTTGAATCTGTCTTCTTCTGTTTCCAGAGAAACATTTGAATAAAGCAGAATCCTAAACATGCATCGCGGACAATTATCCTTGACACTTTGGGCACTTATATTCATAGGCACCTCTGGTAAGTGATTGTAAAAATTCACAAACATACTTCATTAATAATCTAGAAGGAATATTAAAGTTTTGCTTTTTTTATGTGGTGTTAACTACTGAAGATGTTGAATTGATTGAAACGAGTGATTTGAAATTTTATTTTAGAAAATTGCCAACCATTTGGCATTCCTGGCACAGTGAGTGAAAGATTCATAGGGTAGAGAGCAAGTAAAGGAGACACATATGGTATTGTTGAAATAGAAAAGATCCAGCCCTCTGAGTTTATGGGGAGAGAGCAGGATGTAAAAACTTGCATCCTGAAATAATTTACAAGTGTTATCTGAAACCAAGGAGGTAACAGCCATCTTTATCATTGATTTTTAGAAAGTTTTACGCACACTGTCTCCTTCCAGAGAGGAAGCCAAAAATTCATCTTATTAGGTGGGTAATAGTAAGGAAAATAAATGGAAAATACCTCACAGAAATTGAAAAAAAAAGTAGAGTTACAAGGAATATACAAAAAAGGAGATCGATTAGGCAAGGAAGCTCCAGTAGGCGTCACAGCAGGTGTCAGATACCAATTTTAATTTATTAGCAGTGATTGCTTGGAGGTTTGGTTTTCTGTTTTTTGAGATTTTTTTTTTTTTAAGAGTACGAGGCCCCATTCTTTGGAGAAGAGTTCCATGATTGAGTAGCAAAGTTTTCCTTAGGCTTTGGAGGAGAAAGAGGGAGCAGAAATAATACTTTGCCTTGGTCTGTTATCTAGGAGAGGGAAACACATGGGTCCATGTCCCCTACGTTGAGAATTACTGCCAAAGAGGTAGCAAATTAAGATTTGATACTTTCAAATAATACAGGTCTAAATTGTGGGGTGTATTTACTTAAGCGGATCCATTTATTGTTGAGATCCATGCAATGCAATACTTCACAGATGTTAAAGGCATGAGGTAAATCTTCTTTTCTTGATATGAAATGATCTGTCAGAAAGTACTAACTGAAAAAGCAAGGTGCTGGAAAAGGTGTGTAACAGGTCCCATGATCTATGGATATACGCTGATAACCTTGCTCCCAGTTATAATGAAAGCATGTTTCAGGCACAGAAACAGTTGTACAGCCTGTTGTGTAAGGTTACTATAGTCTTGGATGTCTGTTCTGTCCTTTTAGGAACTTGGAGAGCACCTCTCATGAATGGTTCACTTTAAGCAGATATGATAATGTTCTACATGTAGGATTGATTTAACCTAGTTAAAGCTAGGTGACAAAGTCTTGTAATTGTCCAAACTCAAGACAATTCTAAACATATTCCAATGGGTGTGTAGGTTCTTGGCCCTGTGGGGTTCTCATACCCTGTCTGTGGAAGAATGCGAGTGCCTATTCTGGCACTTTGAACTCCACACACTTTGAACTCTACTCATTTCTCCAATCAAAAACAATTTCTAGCATTATATTAACCAACAAGGCCTCTAATGTTAAACATGAGATTAGACATACTGTCTGCCTGGGGAGTGTGAGCTTTCACTGCCAACTACCCACCCTGCAGAGTTTGTAGTTCACATTAGTTTTCTTCATATGGTAACAATCTTCAAAGAAGAATGAGTGCACATATCTGTCAAAATACAGTCCTGTGTTTACAGAAGCTTTTGTAAGATTAGCCAAAACCTGGAAACCTGGAAATAACACAAATGTCCAATAGACATTTGTCCAATAACCCAAATCCCCAATATTTATTCATTTATAGAATGGATAAATTGTCAAGTAGTAACACAATTGGATACCACAGAATGATGAGAAAAGAACACATCACTGATACAGGCAACAACATGGATGCCTATCACAGCATAATGGTGTACAAAGTCATCCAGATACAAAAGAGCGTATATTGTATGATTTGTGTACTTTATTATATTAGCTCTAAAACAGGAAAATAAACTAAATGTTAATGACCTACCATAGTTATGAATGTCGATTAAAACTGACACCAACATATACACGTGTCTCACTTTCCATGTTGAAGCATTGAAATGTAAAACAGAGATTGCATAACAACCACCAAAACATAAGGCTGATGCTCATTAACTCTGGTGCTATAAGGTAGATTTGACATCCATGTTTTCAAAGAATGCTTCTACCATTCGAGCCACTTCCTCTTTGTGTTGTGGTTAACAGCATTGAGTTAAAACCAGACTGTTGCTTTGAGAAATAAACCCTAGCTATAGAAAGGACATTTTATCCAAGTCCTCAGGGAAGTATTTCATTCAATGTAAAGATTCTCATTTTTAAAATGCAGCGAAAGTGCACCATGGAGCCGTTGGAAGGCAGGATATGAGAAAGGCCCATTAATGCTGACTTTGAACTACCAGAAGTACAAAAGGAGGAAGAAGAGCACCTGCCTTGTGTAGATGACAGGAGCAGGTACATTTCCAAATCCAGAGAATCTGGGTTCATTGAGAAAGAGAAAGAATGAGAGCCAGCTCAGGGAGGGAAAGTGACAGACATCAAAATTTGGACTGATATTATATTAGGCAATTCTTGATTATCTACATGGAAACCTAGAGCAACTACCCACGCCCTAAGTTACCTAGGCACACCTTCCACCATCCCCACACCTGCTGGGGAGTGGTTAGGTAGACTGGTTGAGCACAAGGTAGTTGAGAACTCTGATGATGCACGTGGAGAACGCCAAGGTCTCTAGGTTTGTTTTGTTTTCCAAGGCGACTGGGGATGTTTTGGGGTTAAGTGTGGCAACACTGTGACTTCTGTGGCTTTCCTTATGAAGAAATTGTAATGCGTAATTTTGTTTTAAAAGATGACACTACACTTATCTGTCTCCTAGTGATGGTAGGTTAAGTTCTGAGACTTTCCCTGTTTGGAAGGAGCTGTCGGAAGTTGTGTTTTCATCTATATTCTGAAAGCACCTCATCCCTGCTCGTGTTGAAAACATTGACCTTAAAGTAAGGGAACCCACAGGAAAGTGACTGAGATTCCTCCGAACTTTCTTACTAACCATGTCTTATTCACCTAATGCGTTCGGAGAGAAAAAAAGTATCTTTGTCATTTTTTTTTATTTGCTTATCTTTTGAAGAAACTTGTATTTTACGTACCCACATTACTGCGGTTGAAGGGGAAGCTTTCTATCTGAAATACTGCGTATTTCCACCTGTGCCTGAGAATGAAACAACCACCATCAGATGGTACAGAAGCAATGGATCACATGAACGTGTTCAGCTGAACCCAGGCAGTTCACCCAGAATTATTTCGTGGGATTATGTTTTGGAGTTTTGGCCAGTTGAGTTAGATGACGGGGGATCTTACTTTTTCCAGATGGGGTGAGTACACCTTTTCTTTGCAATTAGAATAATTTCATAGCACTTTTGGCCTTTGGTCAGCAGCTCAAATATGCAGTTATCTGAAAGATCAGATAATGCATGCATTTTTTTCTCTCTTACACTTCCTATAACATATTTCATTATTGAAAAATAATAAATCAATCTCCCTACGTTTATTTTCTTAGTGATCTTACTGAAAGGATATTATCTTAATAGGATTTCCTTTTAAGGAATACTTGTCAATGATAAACAACGATTGAAAGAAAGTCAGTTTTAAAATTCAGCTTCTCCTGTTGTCTAGACCCTCTGGTCAAATGAAATCAATGGCTTGGACTTTATAATAATATCAACATGTCATGGGGTAGGGGGCAGTGTCGGTTTCCTGGGTGGCAGTACCAGGCTGGGGAGGAGGGATGGCATTGATGTCAACCCACCCTAGTCTGGTTTGCAGGGGTTCCTTGGGAGCCAGGTGGCAGTGCCAGTGGTGGAGGTATGTATGTGTTTGGCAGCCAATCGCAAGCCCACAGCCAGGGGCGGTGAGAGAGGGGACGTGGGAATGGCTTTGCAGTCTACTTATGACATAGCCCTGGATTCTGCCAGGATCTTTATAATCAAGAGGCATAATTTCTATGAAATGAAAGCAACCACTGACAGCCCCAATCACTCTTATTAAATTTTGTCCCCTTTATATGAATCTACCTACATACGTATTTTTATAGAGATTTGAGACTGACCTGTAGGAAATAGCTCGGGGCCAGCTGCATGGTGACAGTGTGCTGTCAGTGCCTCTAGACTGAGTCCTGATCATTATCAACCATGCCGTTGACAGCAGAGTGAGACATCAGATATCACAGCAAAACCTTGATATCGCTGCTGTGGTTTTGCACAAAATGAGGTCATCTTTGTTTGTTTTTATACATAGGAGCTCCCAGGAGTCAGAAAGAAATTAAAGTACTCTTTCTTTTAAAAAAAGTGATAATTTTATGTGGCTTTTTGAGGGAGAATTGGGTCACAACTGGGTCTTTTCATGGCAAGCTAAAGAAGAATGAATACTTGCAAGTGGAGTAGAGGAAAAAGAACAGCAAACACCACTCCCTCCCCCTCCTGATTGAATGGAGACATGATTTAAAGGAATGAAGTATTCTGGACAGGGCAGAGACCACCAGTCTTCTGTGACCACCACTTGGAGATGTTAGAGACAGAGGGCATTGGCCATCTTCCCAATTTGGAGAGTGGAGAAAATTCAGCCTGGGTTAGGGAACAAAAGGGGAATCAATGGATAGTGGTAGGGTGTCAGACAGGCATGGAGAGACAGGGCAGCAGATAGGAGAGGGCAAGAAAACGAGGTGGCTCAGTGTGGCCCTGGTGATGAACCTTAAAGGATGATGGAGACTGATGAGTGTGAGAGTAAAGCGATGGTGGGAGAAGCAGCTTTGACAGTAAACAGGATTCTACATGACAGCACGTTGTTTTGGACACCCAGGAGCACAGAAGACACAGACATCTTCAAATACAGGGTGATTAGTAAGCAGTATCCTGTTCGTAGCAGACGGATGTGTGTGTGCCTGTGTGTGCACCCACTCAGGTGAGAAAGACTTTGCAGTGGTGTGGGATCTGTCAAAGACCAGACTCTATGCCTTAGAACTGTAATCCTTAATTCTCCCCTTAGAACTGTAATCCTTTAATTTTATAGGAATTTATTGCTAATAATCAAATGCTTCTAGGAACTGATAATTTGTCACATTAAAGTTTAAGAAAGACCTCAACTAATAAGGAAGGGGATACAGTAGAGGGAGTTTTCTGTGCTGGAGTTGAAGAAATGAAGGTAGAGAGAAAAGCACATGCAAAAATCTAATAATCAGATCCGAGGCTGACAAGCAGCAAGTTTGGCTGGGTGAGGGGCATCGGAAGAGAGAGCCAGGGGTTTTTAAAACCCCTTCTGTACATGGCCAGAAGTCAGTGGCTCCTTTAGCCAGGATGGGATGGGCCAGGCCTGTAGCAGCAAAGTAGTGGGCGCAGCTTTGGGTAGTTGGCCTCAGCTTCACAGCAGCCTTTGAGCTCTGTGGCCAGGTGCAGGGCTGCTCGTGCTGCTTGTCTCGTGTTCCCAGTGCAGTGTCCCATCACAGGGAGGGTGGTCAGTCCGTCAGTATTTGTTGAGTATTAAGAATTGAGGACTGCAGAGGTGGAAAAAAATATGATCTGACAAGACGGGAATATTCATGTACTCTAGTCCTCGTAAGCAACAGGTCAACAAGATCTGGAAATATCTCTCCACCTCAGTGAGGCTGAAGTTGGGGAAAATTTACAAACACACCTGCAAAGAGGTTGCTGCCAATGGGATCTTGAATCCTTTTCAAGGGCCAAGTAGCTCTATTATGTTCCATGGCCGTGGACCCACTGCCTTTAACTGTGATGACAGTTTTTTACCCTCTCCAGCCCTGGCCAATCTTATATAAATTCATACCCAGGGTGAAAGGGCCAGATTCACATGGATTGTGAAGGTCTAGTATTGTGCAAAGCACTGCTGGCTTTGGGGCCAAACAGATGTGCATTTGCATCCTGGCCCCACCCTGTAACAGCTGCATGACCTTGGGCATGTTGTTTAACCTCTCTGAGATTTGGTATTTTCATCTGAACCTGAAGAAAATAGTCATCTCCCTTAGACATACGTGGTGCAACACCTGGACCTCAGTGAGTGCTAGTCTTGTCTTTTTCCATCCTATTGGAGACTTGAAGGGGAACTGGAAGAGTCTAAGGTGGGGACAAATTTGTCAGGCACCCAGGAAACGTAACAACACACGTCTGCTGTATTTAGTATATGGATCTATGTATCGTAAGTGCAGTGTAAGAGAACATCAGAGTGCAAACATCTTGTCTTTAAAAATTTCCTTCTAAAAATACTGTTAATTTTTTCCTTTTTCCAAATTAATTTCTGATCAGGAGCAACTATAAAATTTACTGAAACTCACTTTTTTTTCGGGAAAGCATTTAAAGTGCTAATACAGTTTTGCTGAGGGCAAAAACTCCAGGCTTCAGTCTACTCAACAGTAAGAGAAGGGGATTGGAATATACTGCCTTGAGAAATATAAAACCTAATACAAATACACACACATTCAGAAAATAATAACAGGAGTTTGTTTATAGGTCTCAGGAAACCAAGGCCACCCTCCCATCCTGGGCTAAGACCCTCTGAACTTATTTAATCACCACAGATGATTGAAGTTTTGAGTGTTTGCTGTTCTGACATCCATAATATATGGTCTGCAGTGGTATTTGTGTGTGTGTGTGTGTTTGTGTGTGTGTGTGTGTAGACTGCTCAGGTTTATATCTTTTACCCTCTGATCCCCCACCCCATGACAGTTGTTAAATTTCTTGCTGCACTTAACCAAGAGGAGGCAGAACAGGGTTTGGACATCAATGAATCACTCTGTTTATACAAAAATAAGGGGAAAACATATCACATTGGTTGCTAAAGGGAAGATGGATGATATTTGCAAAGTCTTCATAGTAATTATAAAATACCCTTATATCTTTATTCCATAGAAATTATACTTATGAATGGAAATTAAACATCATCAGAAGAAATAAACACAGCTGTTTTGCCGAAAAACAAGTAACTAGTAAAATTGTGGAAGTTAAAAAATTTTTGCAGATAACCTGTGAAAATAGTTACTATCAAAAACTGATCAGCACCACATCATTGTATAAGGTAATGCTTTTAAAATATTTTAACTTAAGACCTGATTGAAAATATAAAATTCCAAAATGAGGGACTAAAGGCTTTGGACCATTTTGATCTCGTAACAAATATGCTGTCTGTCCCCACACAGCTCAGTTGGCCTGTCTGAGCCAGCGTCCTCTGGGTTGTTGTAAAGCACTGACGCATGATGTAGGTGCCAGGGTAGCTGCCCTGGATTTGTATCCAACAGGTGGTAAGGCTTCCCCTCCCTGTCCTTCCCTCATTTTCCCTCCCTTTCAATACACTAATTTTGGGGAATGCTAGTTTAAGGATTTTCATTTTTCTCCTATCATGTATACCTAACATTTAAAACTCTATTATATATATTTTTTCTGAATGTATTAGTTCATTTTATAAAATTGGAAGATGGAAAAACAAAGAATGAAGAAAGCGAAAATCACTCATAATCCCACCAGCCAGAGATGTTGTTTTTTTTTTCTGTGTAAACATCTACTTTTAAAAAGTAGTATATTTTATTACTTGTGTCTTTCACTTATCCAATAAAAACTATATTGTGATTATTCCCCAGATCTTTAAATATTCTTCCAAACATGGGATTCCATTTTGCATGTGCCTGGTTTCATATAACTAATCCCCTTGTGTTTGGACATTTGTGAATCTCCTATTTTGCAATATTATTTAAAGGATAAAATCAGTGTCATCTCCATAAATCTTTGGGTGTTTATATGATTTTTTCCTTAAACCAAATCCCTAAATATAGAATTACTAGATCAAAGGCTATGAGCGTATTTATATGGCTTTTGATCCAATTATTAAACTAGCCTCTCCAGGGAGCTATGCCAGGTAAAACCCCACACCTAGTAAAAAATAAATAAATGAATAAATAAATAAATAAAAATCCTCTTTGCTCACACCTTCACCCTTCACCACACTGGGAAATAACACTTTAAGAATGTTGAAAAATCAGACATGGAAAATTTCTGAAACTCTTAGTGTTTCTTTTTTTTTTCATTTCTTTTCTTGACAGTAAATTAAATGTTCGTACATATTTATTGTATCTTACTATTACTTCATTTGTGGATTGCCTGTTTATTTTCTCCATTTCTTCAGTTATCTGTTACTTGTTGAGTTGTAAAAACTCTTTAGACAATGCTATGGAGATTGTATATACGTATGTGTGTACAGTGTGTGTGTGTGCATAAAAATATGCACACATCCACGCACATACACAGCACAAATTGTGTAATTTCTATAGAAGAACAAATCTGAATAATGTGACTCTGTCGAGGAAACTTTGGAGAGCTGTGAGAGAGTGGTCTGAACAGAAGAACTTGGGAAAATTGGGGCAACTGATGATGATTTCTTTGAAACTGTTGTTTGTACCTTTTGCTCGAACACTGTTTACTTGTGATTTTTCAAAGAGAGCTCTTATCTGAAACGTTTTCTAAACATTTGAGTCAGTCCTGAGTTGACTAGGCTCTATTTCCTGTCAAATGTACAAATGTTTTACAGTACATGTAAATTTGTGAGGTTTAGGGTACTGGGTTTTAAGAAATTCCAACATGCAGTTATTTAAATCTAGAAAATAGGTGTACCAGGGGTGTTTTTAGCTCAACAGCTGACCACGGGGCTAAGTATGCTAAGCCTGTTGACTGGTCATGACCTATCTCAGAGGAGCGGAGCAAGGATGCTAAATCAGTGGATGGATTGGAAATGGAAATGAAGAGTCTCTGATCTTTTATATATCTCGGAAAAAATCAGTTTGGGTTTATAAAAATTTGACTTGTATATAAACAGTTTAATGATGTGAGGTACACATGTGGGGGCCTGGCAGGCCCATCCTAGGCACTGGGTCTCGCCCCAGTGGCTACCAGCTTTGGGGGAGAAGAGGTTCTCCCTGTTTGGTGTTTGCAGGAACAGCATCAGATGGTCAACAACAGCCAATCAGCTCCCATATTTCCCATCTGGTCCCTGGTTTGCTTCAGGACCTACCTGTGGGTGACCGATGGGCTGGACTGAAGAAGGTGGCTTTATTTATTATTGTTATTATTAATTTCTATGACATACATGGAAATCTGTGTGTGAGAGAGATGTTAGAGTGTGCCTGTGGATTTGAATATTCTTGCTGCGTGCCTGATCAGCCCACTGGCTTCTGGTGGAGGATGTCATGCCAGGCCGGCCGTCTGCTAGGTACTCAGTTCTCTGAGTAATTCCACTCCTACCTGCTACCCACCCCCCGGGGGGCCACAAGATTGGACAGTGTTACAAAATAAGAGTTGCGACCCAGGCAGGGATTTTTGTTGTAGTGTTTCTGTGTGTGCATGTGTGTGTGTGCGTGTGTGTATGTGTGTGTGTGTGTGTGTGTAAAAGAGAAGTTAAAGGAAAATGATGAAAGTGGCCCCACACTTCTGTGCTCTCTTTCCCTGCATGTATTAATGACAATAATAGTGACAGGAACAGGACTGCATCTCATCGATTCAGTGGAAACTGTGCCAGATCACGGGGACATTTACTCAAGAATTGCTAGTTTCCATTCTGTTTCCCTTTTTCTCTAAAGATCTTTAACTTTAAACAATTTGAATGATTGTAATATGAATTTGGCTTTTACTTAAAGTATTTCAACTCACTGTCTTAATAACAGAACTGTAAAAAGCTACTGGAGAACAATGAAAACCCCTCTATAAAGAAGAATGCCGAGTTCGAAGATCAGGGCTTTTATTCCTGTGTGTTTTCCGTTCGTCATAATGGAAAGCTATTTAACATCACCAAAACCTTCAATATAACAGTAGTTGAAGGTAAGAGAAATCTTAGAATTGGGAAGAAACAAACGTATCTTAGTAAAAAGGAATTTTTTCTTTCCTTTAAAACTACATAGGAATTGAGAGCCCACTTAGTTAAGGTTGTGACTACACCACTAGTTCAAATACAAGGGTCAAAATCTTCGTTTTGGCACCCATCCACCTGGCTGAAAAAAAAAAAATTTTGGCAGCAAATGAAAGTTTATATGAATAAACCTCACATGAATTGGCTTTTTCTCTTATTTGGAATTCGAGTAAATTGTGGAATCTTTTGTTGTTAAACTTTCATTTGCACTCAACAAATATTTAACGAGGATGTCTGTATTAAATAAACCGTCCTTAGTGCTGAGAGGCAAGGGAAGCAAGGCAATAGGAAATGAAGCCAGTACAGTACTATTCTCAGGAATTTGGTTATAATCAGGAGAGGCAATAAACCACACAGAGGTGCCCCAGTGCATGAAACAGTGTCATCTGTGAGGCCTGAAAGAGTGCTGTGAGAAATTGGAGGCTCTGCCTTGATCTTGGTGTTGGAGGGAGAGTGTCATGAACAGGCAGCAGGACATGCTGGGGAAAGGGCTTTCAGGTGGGAGAACATAGGGAACACAGGTGGTGGGAAGGGGAGGATGCTAATAGTCTGGGTTGTCATGGACCCCGACTAAGTATGATGGAAGGGCAGAAGCCTGGGACCTTAGAGAGGGTCAGAAGCCTAGGATCTTAGAGATAATTTAATTAAGCCTCACCCAGTGAAGATATTCTTCATACGGCACAACCAATAATTGATCATCTAGTCCCTTCTTGGGAATTACTGAGGAAATTACCAAATCACCCAGAAGCTTAGTCCAGATTTTAATATCTGATTGTCGAGAAGTCTTTTTCCCATTGGGTCCAAGTATGCCTTCTCGTAGCTTCCACCTACAGGTTTTGTTTGCCTGCAGTAACTTCACAGATTAAGTCTAGCCTCTTCTTAAAATGACAGTGTCTTTGATTATTTGAAGAGAGGTGGCCTATCCACCTTAGACTTTCTTTTCCGTTGTCCTGGGAGACTGTAAACCTGGGTAGATGACTCATTCAGCAGAATCTGTGGGCACGCAGTTTACTGAAGCTCCTTTGCTTTGGTAACATTTGTCCTCTCCACTTCAGCCATCCACTTATACAGGTATTCACCCATGCATTGCTACTGTGACAAATTGCCCCAAATTTAGTGTCCTCCCTGAAATCCAAGTTTCGGCAGGATTGCATTGCTTTTGGAGGTTCAAGGGAAAAATGTGTTACTTTGCCTTTTCCAGCTTCTAGAGGTCATCAGCGCACGGCTTGTGCTTCTTCATCTTCAGAGACGACTGCATGGCATCTTCAAATCCCTCTCTCTCTCTGTCTCTCTCTCCTTTGCTTCCATCATCACATCTTCTTTCTGACTCTGACCTTTCTGTCTCTCTCTCATGGGGACCCTTGTGACAACACTGGCTCACCCAGAAAATCCAGGATAATCTCCCTATCTCAAGATCCTTAATTTAATCACACCTGACAAGTCCCCTTTGCCCTGTAACATAACATATTCCCGGGATCTGGAGACTAGGATGTGGGAAACTTTGGAGGCTATTGTTCTGTCTGCCAGAGCCCAGAGCCTGATAATCCCATAACTGAATTCTTAAACCCCCAAATTTAAATCTATGTATAATCATCTGCCCTAAATACTTCAGCTTTACTTTCCCATATGTATATTCTTTAGTCTCAAATCAATCTCTGGTCCTTTGATACGTCAGTACCTACACCCTCTCTGCCATCCGTCTTTGCTGTCAGCCCATCAGCCAGCCACTTTTTCCCTCCTTCTTTGAGGAAGCGGTATGAACATCCATCATTAAAAAAGGATTTACACTGGGCCAGGAATTGTGCCAAGCACTTGAGTTGAATCATCTCATATAATCCTCACAACAGCTCTGTGCGGCTGGGATCTTGGGCAAGTTAAATTACTTATGAGTGTGTGTAAAGTTCAAGGATGGTCCCAGAGCCAGGGGAGCTCTGCTGTTAGGTCCATCTCCCACCGCCTGGTCCCCCGCTCCTCGCCCCCCACCGCTGCACAGGCTATTCCTCTATCTGAACTGCTCACTTGATGTCCATTGTCTTCCTGGAGAACGCCAACTGAGTCTTTCAGGATGCCGCTCAAATGTCCCTCCTCCTCTGTGCCTCTGTGGCCTCTTAATTTGTATTTCTGATTGATGTCAGAATCTGATTCCATGTGTGTCTCTGTCAGCAACCTGAGAAGTTTCTGGAAAGTAGGATGGAACTGAGTTCTATTCCTCATCTTTGCACCTCACACACCTACAGTTGGCACTTGGCACATTGTAGGTGCTCATTACATGCCTGTTGAGTGAATTACAGAGACAGCAACAGTTCCTTCAATGGTGCCACATACGACAACCAGAAGCCTAGATTCCTCACCATCTTGGCCATTTTTCTTTGGATTTGACAGACGTAGAGCTTGGAGTTGGAGTCAGTAGTCAGGAGGTGTTCTGACTTGTGCTGAGGACAGTGGGACTCTGAGCTCCCACCTTCTCTATATTGTGTCTTTATTCCAGTTCCCCTGGGATCATGGATGTAGATCTCTCAGCTGCCACATGGTGAGCACTGTAGGGGCGGAAAGGTGTGATCGCTTTCCTCATCCATCATAAGAGTCATGGCCAACACTCCTGTAACAAAAGACAGTTTAGCAAAAGAAAGGTATAACAAATTTATTTAATCAAAGTTTTATGTGGCATGGGAGCCTTCAGCAATGAAGACCCAAAGACCCAGGGAAAACCTTTTGTTTTTATGCCTAGGTTCTATGAAGCATGGACAGGTGTGTAGACAGGTGATTGGACAAAAGGGTATTAACTAATGATAATGGACTGAGTGGGGAAACTCAGCAAGGCCAACTATTCATGTTCTTCTTGGCCTCTCTGTTGTGGCATTCCTTCCTCCCAAGTATAGGGCTGGACCCTCATTTCAGAGGGTCTTAGGACCTACTATAAGACAAGGTAGGGCAGAGAATTTTTTTATAGGCAGCTCTTAGACAGAAAGGTGGGGGAAGTTTAGAGTAATATTTCTAGGTTTTATGGCTTTCTTTGGAGAAAGGGAGTTCTAGTTTCTATGACCCATCTCGGGGAAGAGGAAGTCTGGTTTCTGTGACTAGTTTCAGGTGAGAAGAGGGGGGAGAAATGGGAAGGAAAGAGAAGGTCAAAGAGATCTGAGTTCTGGGGCTGTTTCTGAGGCCTTCCAACATTGTTTAGTCCAAAGCACTCAGCCTGCCAAAGTGCCACACTTTGTGGTGTCATTTTCTGAACCCCAGTAGCACCATTGCCTTCAGCTTGTGTTCAGGAATCACAGCCCTCTGGACTCCCACCTGGCATCTTCCATTCTCCTCTTCTCGTGCTCTGGCTGGTCTGGTGACATCTCCTCTCACTGCTGGCAATCTCTGTGCCATTTCGACGCTGTGACGTTAGCTTCACAGGTGGACTAGTCATGCCAAGTGCACTCACTAGGGTGTTGGCTTCTTTCCATTACCTCAAATGGGGCTGTCCCCTTCACTTTGCACCAGTTGTAGAAACCCAGTGCTGATCTGGGTTTCCAATGATGTAATCTGAGTGTTAGTAGAGAGCACCCTTTACTCGAGTCGTCCTTTACTGAAGATGTCCTTCGTACCACTTTTTCCCAAGTCTCCCATGTAAGTTTCTGGGGGAAAAAATGGATCCAGAGAAAGTAGTCAATAGCAATTTTCCCCATTACACGAAAATCACCTCCTGTCCCTTCGTCCTTGAGTCAAGCCTACGTTGCTCCACATTCATAGACCTGAGAGTTAGCTCTTTCTCTGACTACATCTTGGCTCCTCCCACCTGTCTAGCAGTGTACCAGGCTTGCTCAGACAGCTTGGATCCCAGGGGAACCCTGTCCTGACTCTCTACCTGTGGATCCACCACGCTGGTTTCGTTCCCATGTCCTTGCCTCCCCACTGTCCCCGCCATGCCTCACCCAGTAGCACTGCACTGTCTGAGAGGGCTCCGGGAGGCTTGGACGCTGCAAGAGAGCACCTGAGTCATGGTGTGATCCACACAGCCAGGCATTCTGCTTGCTGAGCACCGTAGGCCCCAGCCTGCCTGCTCCGGACATGGCTCGGAAACAGCCCAGAAGCACTGAAGTTACTAGAACGAACAGTCTGGGTCATGAGGAAAGTTATCAGTGCTGATACCAAGGCCAACAATAACTTAACTATGTTTAACACATTCACTGCCATGTAAGCTGTATTTAACTCACACTAGTTTTGAGCCCAGGGCCCCATGAAGCATACGAAGACTCAATTCTCTGAAACAAATTCAATAAGAATGTCATGAGTCACGTACAACTCAATTGGCGTACAGCGTAAAAATTGATTCTAGCACCGTGTGAGTTGCATATAACTCACGCATAGAAAACAATAAAAAATAACACATCTTTCATTAACACATCGACTGCCATTGAGTTGTATTGAACTGAGGATAGTTTTGACCCTGGGGTCTTGTGAAGCTAAATCCTGCAGTTGGTTCGTGAAAATCTTACTTGTTGATATTCTTTTTGTTAAAATTAATATTGACGATTTAATTCTAAAAAACGTGGATTGCATGTGCATAACTTATGCACAGAAAACAATAAAAAATAATAAACTAGGGAGGATTGTTTTGTTTTAATAAAACACTGTGGCCCCAGGGAAAAATTGTTTTCTTTCTAGAGTGACAGTCAATGTGTTAAATCTACTTCCACAGTTGCTCTCGATGTTGTGTGGCATCAGCTGCCTCGGGCTGTATCTAGCATTTAGTAATAGCAGAAGGCTGCAGGGAGAGGATTTCCTTCCTAAGCATCACTAGATGTGCAGAACTCCTGGTTGGGGTCAGGAGTCACTTGGGAACAGAAGTAGAATGGGGCCTACAGCCCAGCACACCAGCAGGGCCAGGACCTGGTGAGTCAGGCGACACACCCGTGGTGCAGTATTGAAGGGGCACACCTCTCGGCGTCCTGCCAGGGAAGGGTTGGTGCCCGAGAGTGAGGGCTTGTCTTATCTCACCCCTGGCCCTGCACCCTGTAAATCTATCAATGAGGAGCTGAGGAGGACAGAGGGAAGGACTCAGGCAGGACAGAATGCACTTCCCAGCGACTTTGCATCTTCTCATCCTGCAGTTTGGTTGTCTCAGGGGTCTGTCAGTGGTCCCCCTGGAGGAAAGTCTTCCTCTGCCTTTAGCTGGGGTGAGCAGAAGCCACAGATCTGAGCTGAGAGAAAACCAGATTCAAGGTGCTGTCAACAGTTCCGTGAGTGTGGAGTTGATGGGAAGTGAAGTAACCAACATATGAGCTGCGACCTTTGGTTAATGAAAATCTGACCCAAGTAACTACAGAGTTTGACTATTTGAATCTTCGTTATATCTAATGAGCATATTATAACAGATATTTGTCCTAGAGAAGCTCAAGGCAACACTAATGCATTTTTCTTTTCTTTTTTTCATTTTTAGATCACAGTACTATAGTTCCAGTTGTTCTTGGACCAAAGCTTACCCACGTTGAAGTGGAATTAGGTACATTTTGACATACATATATTCTGCATTTATGAATGGGGGCATAATAAGTCTTCTGAGGGTAACTATGATTCATTATTGAAGGACAGTGGGTGCACAACACATTGCATATTTAGTGAAGAACATTACAAAACTAAAACAAAAGCATGTCATTGTTTGAATGTTGCCACCTTTAAACTGATTAAAAGGAACAGTCTGTTGAGAGGCAGTGGAACTGCCTGTGGTTTGCAAACTAGGGCTTTTGTCGCCCTGCGTGTGGCTTTTCTCTATTGTCATTTCTAAATATGGAAATTCAGTGAGATGATCTGGAGAGATGATTCTATATTTTGTGGTTTGAATATTTGATTAATTGATTCACTATGAATCAATGGACTGAATTGACTGTATTTGTCTAGGATTTGACTGGATTTGTCTGGGTAGGCCTTATGAATCAGTATGTCCGATGGAATGATTTCTTTCACAAGGGAAAGGAAGAATTTCGTGTGCTAAGTATGCTAAACCAGATCTTGTGCTAGGTGTTTGAAATATATTACTGAATTAAGTCCTCTAAGCAACTCTTGTTTATCCCCATTTTATGGGTTGAATAACTGAAGCATAGAAAGGCTGAGTAATTTGTCTAAAGTTAAATAATTGAAAAGTGGAGGAGCTGGGTTTCAAGGCTGTGTTGATTGCTTCTAAAGTTCACACTCTACAACCACACCCGGAGTCACAGTTGTTTCTGTGACCGCATATGCCCAGGGCAGCTCGGGTATGATGCCATTTGCACTTGTGGTTTGCCTGCTGCATATTTTTACTGATTTTTGCTTTTATCTTTATTATTTCTTTTCTTCTACTCATTGGGGTTTAAGTGGCACTTTTTTTGTATAGTTTCTTGACTTGGAATGTTAGAGAATTAATTTTAATTATCCACTCTTGGAGTATGTGCATTTTAAGTTCTAAATTTCCCTCTGAGCACTACTTTGCTGTTTTCAGTAAGTATTGGCATGCCATATTGTCACACTATTCAGTTCAAATCATTTTTTTAAATTTCCCTTGTGATTTCTTGTTTCACCTATGGATTACTTGTGTTTCTTATATTCCAAATATGTGGAGGATTTCCTAGCTATTTTCTGTTATTAGTGTCCAGTTTAGTTTCATATGGTCCACGACTATACACTGTGTCATTTCAACGTTTTGAAATTTGTAGTGACTTGCTTAAGGCCCAGAATATGGTATATCTTGATGAATATTCCAAGTGCATTTGAAATGCAGGTGTATTCTGCAGGTTTTGGTTTTATCATTCTTTAAATGTCAATTACGTAAAGTCTGTTAATGGTATTGTTCAAATCATTTATATCCCTACTAATCTTCTGTGTGCTTGCTCTACCTGTTGCTGAGAGAAATATGTCAATTTGTCTATATCTCCTTTAGGTCTGTCAATATTTGCTTTATGTATGTTGAGGCTACCCTATGTGCTTATACACATTTGTGCCTGTTGAATTGACACTTTTATCGTTATGAAATGTCTCTTTGTCTATCATAATACTTCCTTTCTCAATGCCTATACTCTCTAATATGAAATAGTCACACCACTTTTCTTTTGTTCGGGATTGGCAGGTTTTTCTTTCTTTACATCTTTTTATTGTTAACATTTCTTTGTCTTTATACCTAAAGTGTGTCTCCCATAAACTGCACGTAGTTAGATCTTTTTTGAAATTCAGCCAGTATAGTTTTTAGTCCCTCTATAGTTAATAAATTACTGATATAGTTGGTTATATCATATATACATGACATACAAAATAATATTCATTTGACTTTTTTTAGTAGATAATGCTTTTTGGTTTAAAATGTCCACCTTTTCATCCACTTATTCATCATTTCCTCTATTTTCTTTCACATAGTCTTTATCTGCTAAATTCAGCATGAGGATCATCTATTTTTTTTCTATTGATTATTGTTCACATTTTCTGCCTCTTTGCATGTGTATTAATTTTTTACTGCTGCTGATCTTTGTGTATCAAACAACCAAAGTGAATGATGTTTGTATTCTTTTTTTTCCTGCGAGTGTTTGCTTTTCTGTTGGGCAGGTAGTGTGAGGGGTTGAGCGTCTCAGTTCACTCAGAATTGAGCTGGAGTGGCTAGGATGCAGGTCTGTGAGATCTAACCTGCCTTTCATCTCTGACAGCTGGGGTAGGGGGCGGGGGTGGGCACTGTAGTCATGTGTTTGTCGCAGGGCAGGCCTTTTCCTCTAATGGGACTTGCTCTCCCAAGCACTGTAGACTGCAGGTGATGCCATCCAGCCTTTGCGGGCCTCCCACACTGCTCAAGCCTTTAACAATGATCCCCCGGAGCCTGTGCACATGCTGGGAGCTTCCTGGATTCTCTTGTCTCTGAGACTCTTGTTTATTTCAAACCAAAGCAAATTCCTCCATAGAATTAAATGGCTGGCTATCTCAGCTCACGCTGGAAAGGATCTTTCCTGACTATACTTTTAGTTCAACTCTTTCTCATGATTTTCCTTGCACTTTGATGTCTTTAATGTCTAGTTAATTTAATTTGATTTTTTTGGTGATTTATCCATTTTGTTTATCTAGAAATTGCAGTGAGTGTGTTGAACTGAAACTACCTACTCAATTGTATACTGAAAAGAAAGTTCACTGGTCACTCTACGTTTTAATAATTGATTTAAAAATAAACATTTAAAGAGAAGCCAATTCACATTTTAGTGATGACTTGTAATTATTACCTGATTCTTCTGTTTTACAGTTTTTTAAAATTTAAAAACAACGCATATCTACTTTCTTTCTGGGAGGCAACACTATATTTTGTGTTAGGTTAACATACGCTGATTATATTAATTTGAAACCTTTGGAAAATCTGAGTTCCTAAAATCCAAACTTTGGTCGTCAACTTTTACCTAGGAAAAGATGTACAGCTCAACTGCTCTGCTTTGCTGAATGAAAATGATGTGGTTTATTGGATCTTCGAAAAAGAAAATGGACCAGATCCTAATGTACATGAACAGAAAGAAAATAGAAACTGGTATGTATATGTGATACCTGACATATATCATGCATATGTGATGTAAGAATTATATTGTATATACATGGTATAAAAACAGTGGATTCCTGAGTGGCTGATGTGGTGGTTGGGATTAGTTTAAATTATAATTATAATTTACATATTTTATAATTATAATTGTCATACCTTAGGTTGATGGATTATGCAGAAATTTATTGCCAAGATCTGAGTTAGAACAAGAATGTCCATGAGGCCGGACGCGGTGGCGCACGCCTGTAGTCCCAGCTATTGGGAGGCTGAGACGGGAGGATCGCTTTAGCCCAGGAGTTCTGGGCTGTAGTGCGCTATGCCGATCGGGTGTCCGCACTAAGTTCGGCATCAATATGGTGACCTCCCGGGAGCGGGGGACCACCAGGTTGCCTAAGGAGGGGTGAACCGGCCCAGGTCGGAAACAGAGCAGGTCAAAACTCCCGTGCTGATCAGTAGTGGGATTGTGCCTGTGAATAGCCACTGCACTCCAGCCTGGGCAACATAGCAAGACCCCATCTCTGAAAAAAAGATAAAAAAAAAAAGTAGAAAAAAAAAGAATGTCCATGAGAAGGTCAATGAGGGTACTTAGCATCACCTTACAAAAGCAGCTTTTGGGCCTGGTGTGTGTGCCTGTGGTCCCAGGTACTCAGGAGGCTAAGGTGGGAGGATCACTTGAGCCCAGGTGTTTGAGTCCACCCTGGGCAACATAGAGAGACCCAGTCTTTAAAAAAAATTAAAATAAATAAATAAGTAGATTAAAGGTAGCTTTTGATCAGTCAGGATCTGGTGGTGATGGAGATTTTTACCTAGCTTCTTATAAAAAAGCAATTACCTGGGCCATGGTTTTTGGATTTTGAAAAATGTAAGCACATTACTTTTACTAATGTGCCACAAAAGTTCCACAGGACATGCATATTGATCCTTAAATAGCCTACATTCTTCCAACAAGGAATGGCCAGATTTATTAAAACAAACCATACTCTGAATATGGTCATTTAAACTTTTCTGAATGGCTTTAGGTCATACTGTTATTATTAATTATTATACTGATACACTACTCAGGGTCTATTCGGTGGTGATCCTAAAGTGTCGATCATATTAGCTTCCCTTATTATTTTTTTTTCCTGCTTTTTACACTTGTTTTTGGTATATTCTTTGTCATTATGTTGGCAGTTCTCAATTCTTGCCAACACTTGTCTGTAAGCTCTTTACACAGCAAGGTCTGGCTGCTTGCCCAAAAGCAGGCACGTGGTTGGTGCCCAATAAATGTCGAATTTGGCTGAATGGTGTGGCTGTCCTGCCAGCATATCCTCTCCTCAGCCATAGACCTCCATTGGAGGTTGGTATTTCTCCCAGCTAATGGTCTCTTTCTAATCTTCAGAGGAATAGAAGACCAACTCATCAAACCTCTCAGAAATGAGCATATGCTGTGAGAGCAGGGAGGTCTTTCTTTATAGTTGGATTCATACCACATACTTTTTATGTCATCTGTTTTGACTTCTCAGTGGCCTTTTGTGTCTTCTGGTTTTCATTGGTTTTAGATGGTTGCTATTTTCAGATGGATGACTTCTGTACAGAATGGCTATAAAATGTACTTAGCTGGAGGCTACAGTAAGGTCCATGTCCCAGGCACAGGAGACACTTGTTGCTAGGCACTCAGGCATGCGGGGGCCACGCCTGGCTGTGCTGACGTGCAGCCCCTCCGAGCCTGTCACTGGCGGGGGAAGTAGATGTCATGAGTGTTTGCTTCACACAACCACAAGACAGCTTGAATCCTTTGAGGAAGAGGAAGAGAGTTTACTGCCAGTAGTTGTTGCAAGGCATTAGCCGGTATTTCTCCTGTGCCTGGGGGTGTCTGAGAATAGTGTTTTTTGGTTTTTTGTTTTTTTTTTTAAATTTAACAAAATAAAAATAATCTCTGGAATTGAATGGACCAAACTTGATATGAATCTGTTTCTACGCTAAACAACTTACAGCCTTGTCACAATTAGTGGAGACCTTTCTGTGGGAAGAACAAGCAGTTAGGAGGGGAGAAAGTAATTGAGACAGAGAATATTTTCTTACGTTTTCAACTTAGCATCCTTTCTTCCCACATTTTAGTTCTAGGTAGTGACAATGCCGTCCCCGGATTGCCTCCGGAGGGCTGTTTCCACCAGTCCTGGTGCTCCACAAAGGAGCAGGAGGATTATTGTGGTCTACCTTTAAAAGCATCCACCAGATACAGCCTCTTGGCATATTATTAAAAAACAACAATAACAACAACAAAAAAGTACCCACCAGAAAGGGAACATACAGCATAGTCAACAGGGTAGCTGCCTTTGGGTATTTTAAACATATGAATTCCCCTCTCATAGGTAATTTTGCTGATGAACAAAGCCTGTTGCTAAATTATTTTACTTTCTTATAGGACTTCAGAAGGCAAATTGTATTCTTCAAAAATATTGAGAATTGAGAATATTAGTGAAAATAATCTCAATTTTTTATATAATTGCACTGTGACTGGCAACGGAGGCACAGACACCAAAAGCTTCATCTTGGTGAAAAAAGGTTTGAAAGTTTTATTTTTGGAAGTTTATGAAAACTTAGCATATTGCTGCTGAGGGACCCATGGAAGATCATCACTTCCTCACGTGCCACACCAGAACCCAGCTCCTTGGGGGTGATGTGATTCATCTTATGTCACAGGCTTTCAGTGGCGGGACTGGTGCTCAGCCTCTGCTGGGAATCTCTGTGTCATGATTCCAAGCAGAGAATGAAAACATAAAGTTTGTTCTTGCAGTGATTTTCCAATCCCATGTAGAAATCAGGGGGCCAGAGCAGGCAGGTGGGTGAAGCTTAGGGACATGAACTTTGGGGACTGAGGCCCTGGGGAGGCAATCAGGGCAACCGCGGATACCCAGTGCTTCCACCCAGAGCATCTGGAGGGAAATTTGCAGATCAGTGTAGGGTGAGCTTGCACTGTGGGTTCTTAAAGTTTTTCAGTGCCCACCTGATAGAGTCACCCACTTCCAGCTTCTACCAAAATTGCACAGCCCAGGGTCAGTGGCTCAGTAGCTACTCAGAAATGGCTGAGACGCAGAGAGACAGAATGAGAGAGAGACAGAGAGAGATACACACAGTGACAGAGAGGAACCGAGACATAGAGATAGAGAGGCAGAGACACAGAAAGAACAAGACAGAGAGAAATGAGAGAGAAACAGAAAGACAGAGAGAGGCACACAGACACACACAAACACACAGAGAGAGCCTCACACACACACAGATGTCTGTGCCTTGGCTTTGATGAGAAATGGAAGGAGTGGGGCAGAGAGAGCCTAATGCCAGAGGCCACCCTTGATAGTTCTGCTGTCCTGGTGCCCTCTGGCAGCTCACCTAGTACACGCAGAGCTGTCCCTCCACCATGTGCGATAGTGATAGCCAACATTCAGTACAGGCTTTGTGCTGGTCTCTTCCCATGATTTCATCTAATCTTGGTAACAAGCTTTTATAAGTGAAGAAATTCGCCCAGAGTCACAGCAGGTAAAGGTATTGGCATTCAGACCTAATTAGAGTCTGTGCTCTTAACTTCTACGGGAATTGTCACAGGTGTCCCCCAAACCCTGTGTGAATGCCTATGCTATTGTCTATGCACTTGTGAGGGTGAGGCTTTCAAATTTGTTATTTTTGTTGGAACTACTGCCTTGCCTGAGTTTCTTGGTGATTGGTTGCCAACAGCCACCTCTGCCCTCTTAGAGCAGTGCAGGACTGTCCTATCCCTGCCCTAGAAGCTTCTGCCCTTGTCATTTCTCCTGCTATGCTCACAAATGTAGGCTGGGGAACAGGGTCTCACAATCCACCAACGCCCCTGGAGGAACTGGGTGCCAGTGTGCACACGTGTGTTTGTGTATATGTGTGGCATAGTCATGACTATGTAGACCTTTCAAAGACACTGGAACCCCAGGGCCTGGGTCTATTCAGAGTTCACTTATTAAACAACCTTAGTTACTTACTTGCATCCTAATTTTACTGGAAAGATAATCACTAAAAATTGTCCTATTTAAGATACCAAAAGTTTTAAGCATGTTTTCACTCTTTGACCTAGAAATCCTCCCACCATTGGAATCTATTCTAAGAAAATAATCAGAAATGCAGATAAATGTATATGCATTTGTTCATTGCGATTTTATGTATACTTAAGAAAAATTGCAATCAATAAAAATATTGGGATACGAATTATAATTTTAATGACCTACTGACATGCTAATACTATAGTATTCAGAAATAAAGAGTGACTGCCATGTGATCTCAATTAAGTGTAAACATTCAGGGACAAAAGGGAAACCCAGAAGGAAATATACTTTCATGTTCACATGGCCATCACCATATTGTGGGGTGGTTGTTAAAAATTACTTTATTCTTTATATTCCTCTGTATTATCTTATATTGTCCATAATGAGAGTAAACTGAATAAATCTGGGAAATGCAATTTTAAGGGTACTTAATTATAAAAGGGCATTTTTATACATAAAATTTGCTAAAATTCTGAGAGCTGTATGCCAGGCACTATGCTAACTACTTTATGTGTAATATCTCATTTAATCTTTCTCAAAGCAGCAACCCTGTAAGCGAAGTGGGAACTATGATTATCTTCATTTTACAGATGATGACACTGAGGTTTAGGGGCATCCGTGACTTTTTCTAGGATACAAAATAATCGATGGAGCCAGGCTCCAAACCCACACAAGCTCAGTTCAGAGTTCTCTCTCTCTCAAAACTATGCATCTCTATTTATGTTCTCAACCCGCTAGCTGAGACTTAGATTTGAGTCCCTCTGTATTTCAGCCTAGTATCTTATCGCCCCAGAAATCTGATTTCCACAGGTACAGATAGAATACATTATTGTACAGCATTTTCAGTTTAGGTCTCTAAATATCCTTGTATACATTCTTATTCTTTAAAAATTTGAGTAGAAAGATCATTATTCCAGACCAAAGGCAGGAAAGCGGAGTAACTCAGTGGAACATGTCAGCAATTGGGTGGACAACCGGATTAGTGTTAAAGTCAAAACTGACAACCACAGTGTGATGACGGAGGACACTGCTAACATTTCTCTGATTAAATTTTTTTTCCTTTTTCTATTTAGCAGACATGGCTGATATCCCAGGCCACGTCTTCACGAGAGGAATGATCATAGCCGCTTTGATCCTGGTGGCAGTAGTGTGCCTAGTGGTTGTGGCTGTCATTTATAGGGTGGACTTGGTTTTATTTTATAGACATTTAATGGGAAGAGATGAAACATTAACAGGTAACAATTATCGTAATGCTGGGATTTCTTTTCTTATGCTCTCATTAAAAAACCAAATAAGGAGCCATTAATCTTCAACATACTTTGATTATATTGTTGACTTAATCTGTAGGAGAAGTTTTCCATGGGGAAAAATTGTTCTGCATATACCATCCGTTATGAATGTTGTTTGTGCTGCCTTTTCTCGTGCTTATGTATATGGTGCCAAAAATTGTTTTCTAGTTGTTCCATGTATGTATGTCATATCCTCCTAAATGCCCTGTGAGATGCTTGAGCCCAGGAACTGTATATCTGGATGCCACTGTATACACCCCACCTAGGTACCTTATGTAGGGCATACACTCAATAAAGTTGAATTAAATGAATTGAGTTGTATCATGGCTCATCATTTTAACTTGGCAAAGGAGACTGCATAATGTACCTGTAAGAACCCTGAGACAGACGCCAAATGACCTAGGTTCTAGTCTCCTAGATCTGATGGCTTTTATCTACTACCCTGTCTACCTGGTGATGCTATGCCTCAGTTTCCCTATACTAAAAAGTGATTAGAAGTCCTCAAGTTTCGAGGGGATTATTGAATTTAGGGAAAATCAGTCTAATCCATTGCCTTGTCTTTGTTTTTGTATGTCTGTGTTTGTGTGTATGCTTGTAGGAAAAAACCTTCAAAACCCAAAATGTCTAAGAACCTATACAGTAGGAAGACCCCATCCCAGCTTGGTTCATGTCTGTGATTCCCATTCTCCCCCATCACTGATAGCATATCTGACTATAAATATACTTACTCCACTCCTCCTTTTTAAAAACAAATCTTGGCTTATTATGCACACTCTTTTCAACTTTTCTTTGCTATAGCTTAGATACAGTTCCATGCTACTTTATAAAGAAGTCCCTCAGTTTTTAGTGTTGCACAGTATTTTATTTGTGTGGAAATACCACTGTTTATTTAGTCTCCTTTTGATGGACATTCAGGTGTTTTCAATCTTTGGTTATTACAAAAATTCTGGGATGGATAGCTTTATACAGTCATTATTTCATGTGTGTGCAGTATATCTGAAGGAAAAATTCACCCAAGTGGAATTTCTGGAAATACCAAGGGCAGATGCAGCTGTTATTTTGGTAGATACTGCCAATTTGCCTTTCCCTATTGCTATATTACCTACCACCTTCAAAGGAGGAGAGTAAATATTTTCCTACAGCCTTACTCACAACCTTCTGGATTTTTGCCAATTTGGTAGGTAAAATGTTATATGTCAAAGTGCTTTTAATTTGCATTTCACTTACTATACTGGAGCATGAGCAACTTTCCATTTGTTTAAGACTCATTTGCATGTTCTTTTTCAGTGTATCCATTCATATCCTTTGTCTATTCTCCTGTTGGGCTGATGGCTTTTTTTTTTTTTTTTTTTTTGGCCTATTTGTTTCAAAGAGCTATTTACATTTTAGGGAGGTTAGCCTATAATATAAAATGCAAATATTCCCAGATTGTATTTGTCTTTTAACTTTGGTTATAGTAGTGTGCTATGCAGAAGCCTTTTTAAAATGTACTGAAATGTCTTTTCTTTTATAGTCATAAGGACAAAGACTTCCTAACCTCGATTTGTAACGAAATTCTTGTATTAGTTCCTTTGAGATTTTTAGAGATTTTTCACATTTACAACTGATAACTTAACAATATAAAATTAGCAAAGTTAATAAATTTGGCTTTGAGCCTGCATGCGTGTGCGACTTTGCTATGGAGAGAGATGTTGCAACAACAGTGATGTCTGTATTTGATATTCTCCGAATAGCATCTGCTTGCATAGACCAGTATTTGTCCTCAAATGGACATTGACTGATTTCTCTCTTTTTGATTTTCAACTAAGATTTCTTTTTTTTCTCTTGAGCTGTGTTTGACCTGATTTACAACTGATTTTTTTTTAATTTGCACTCCTTAGCTCTCAATATGGTAGTACACAGAGACATTTAGAGATGTGCTCCAAATCATTTCTCCTCAAAGTGTGGTCCACGAACAGATAAAGTCTATGAAAAGGGCAGAAATGGAGACATAAGTACAAAAATACAAACATTTATAGCAACTTAACATTGCTGCAGTATCTGAGAGTATGTTTAGTGTTGGTTTGTGAAGGATTGGAAATGAAACTAATGAATTAAAAAAAGCAAATTTCAATTAAAACATGGTCATTCACTACACAGAGTTTGAGAAGCATTAGTCTACCTGACTTCTTGTAATCCCACATATTCGTTCAAATGATGGTTTCCTTTATACAAAACCCACCAACCAAACAAACAAAAAATTACCACTAGCTTTCAAATTCCTTATCTTGAGCCCTTTGCTCTGTCAATTCTCAAAGCCACTAACCTTTTTGTTACACGGATTTAAAATAAAATTGTGACATAAAGTAGCAGATTTATATTTAAAAAAGAGAATTGCTTAAAATAAGAAATTTAAAAGCAATTAATAGTTGAAAAAGTAATTTTTCATGGGTAAGAGCAAAGCTGTATCATATATAATATAAACACATATTTTATGGAATTGTCTTCCAGGTTTATTGCAATCTGTTACATCCTAATTATAAGACAAAAAGTGTGCCTTTTAAAAAAGTGTGCTGATTTAGTTGTCTTACATCTTGGAGCCTGTTTTCATCGCTGACGAAATGACAATGCCAGTGGAAACACTAGCCCTTACTTAACCAGCAAATAGCTATATTTCACAGTAATTTAAAAGTATTCAGGGGGCCTATTTTCTGATTTAACTAATAACTGGCTTTATTTTTACCAACTTTTTCTACCTTTGACATTTATGTAATTCTGCAATTTTACCACAATTTCTTATCTTTCATATGCTTGCAAATCTACAAAGCAATTGCTTTCAATCAACAATACGTTCTGACTGGAACTGCTGAATCAGAATGCTGTGTAGGTATCAATAGAATCCAAGAAGCTTTTGCCAGAAAGGGAAAGTGTCGTTTGGTTAGACAGACCACTGTTGAGGATGTTGGGTTGGGCTGTTAAGCACAAATGATGTGGTACCACAAAGGACATGGACGTAGAATGGTTTCATCCTATTACATGACAATAAAGAATCCAATAATATTACCCTTTAACTCAGTAGCAATTTCATTAATCCCAATGAATACCCAAGCATCAATCTAACTCCTCTGCCATCTAACCAATTGTCATGGGATAAAGACAGATCATTCCCCTACCACTTCCTTTCTCCCTCGACAGATCCCAGTCAGCATCAGTTGTATTTTCTAGGACCCAACTCAAAATTTTCTTCGTTTAGAAAGCATGTCCATGGGGATGAGTCCTTCTTCCCTGGCCAGGTTATTTTGTTTGTTTCGTTTGTGTTACCCTGTTTTCCTTCTGCAAATGTGTTCTTTGTAACTTTTCTCAAGTTGGTGCATGTGTCTGCTTTGCCTTTTTCAAATAGATTGGATGAAGCTAAAAGAGAGAATTGTATAATTTTTTAGTCACCTAGTTAGGAGAATGGTTTTTGTTATTTAGGTAACTCGTTTCCTCCAAAATTGGTTCCATGAGCCATGTGAATAGTTTCATTATCGGAAAATTGAATAGGAGCAGATGTTATGATCAGTGAAAACCTTTCAGTGCATCAGAAGTTTTCCTTTTGACATCAAATATCTTATAGTATTTTAAATATCACCATATGTATTCCTATATCATATTGTTTCAATCACCTCTGTTGTTTCTTCCCACTCTCCAGGGTCAACATTCAGCTTTGTTTCTATCTTCCCTTCCTTGGGGGTCGTTGTGAGGGTAGAAATTAGGAGGGTGGTAGGATTAAGTGACGTGAGTAAGCCAAAGTGAGATTTGATTTCCACTCCTGGAATGAGGGCATATTTGAGCTCTTTGGCCTGTCTTTAAATTCTTTTAGTGCCCTGGTCTACAGTATTCATTTCTCTCTATCCCTCTCTGGTGTTGAGCAGTGGGAGTCTTAATGCAGATGCTTAAAGAAACATTGGCTACTTGGTTGCTTGGTTAGTATATGAGGTTTAAATATAAACAACACTATATTTAATTTTTCTTTTTCAATGATTTTATACTCATTATTTGTGATGTTCACTCAAGTTTGTACTTAAATAAACTTTTGTTTACACACTAATTAAGAGTCAACCTTATCTCCTAGATGGAAAAACATATGACGCTTTTGTGTCTTACCTAAAAGACTGTCGCCCTGAAAATGGAGAGGAGTACAGCTTTGCTGTGGAGATTTTGCCCAGAGTGTTGGAGAAGCATTTTGGGTATAAGTTATGCATATTCGAAAGGGATGTAATGCCTGGAGGAGGTAAGAAGGGAATGCCAGACAGAAAAATATTTGAGATATTTTCTTTTTTAAAAAATTAATCACTAGCCCTACAGACAGCTGATCCCATTTTCCTTACAAGCAAATGAACAAAGTCCTTTAAACCAGGTAAGTCAACATAATCAATAGCGAGAGAACAGTTTGCTTCCCATAGTCTCTTCTCTTGGGCTCTATACTTTTCACTTCATGATTCTCTGAAAATCTGGAGAAAGGGACTGGGAGTTTCATTTTCAGACCCAGGTCCAGCGTTGGTGCTATCGTGAGGCATTTATCTAAGCAATGACCCACAGTGAGAATATTTGTACTGCAGAACCAGTTCCTAATATAAGCCATGTTTGGACTATAAACACAGGTTAATTCCTACCAGGAAATGCTCATTCTTTATTGCATTGATATTGGTGAGAAAATTAGAGTAGAAAATAGGAGAACTGGAAAGGGATAAATGAGGAAATTGGTGATTCCTATCAGATCATAGTTATGGAATTCAACGTTTTGCGTTAATATATGAATACAAATGGCCATAGCACAAATACTGAAGCAAATTATGGTTAAAATTAAAATAAAAATAGTAACATTTCCATGCTTTTTCTGTTTTTTTCTGAAGTCTTCCAGAGCATTTGAAATCTGGTGTCAAATTACTTTGTCATGGGACAATATTAATAAAACCAATATTAATAAAAACCACAAATGTTGTCATTGTTACCATCATTCACTCATTCATTCGATATTCATTGAATGCCATCCCTGTGTCAAGTTCTGAGCAAGCACTGAAGTTATAGCAGTGAATAAGAAGGAGTTGCATTTTTTCCTTCAATATTACAAATTAGAAAGGGAAAATATGACTAACTAGAAAGACAAAATATACTACTATTTAGTGATAAACAACTTCTTAAAAGGAATAATGTGGCGAATTGTCAGGCGCATATACCACTGTGGTATTTTTGTGTGACAGTTCTTTGCATCTAAGAGGCCATACTGATATTTAGGAAACATTTATGCTTGCCTTTGCATCAACTTTACTACATCTCCATTATTTTCTAGGAGTCGTTTTGAAAAGAGATTTCTTCTCAGTTTTTAAATCAAAGTAAAAAATGTACGTTCAATTGTAATTAGGTTTGGTTGAAACCTCTGAGAAGGGTCAGAGGTCTAGAACAGGGGTTGGCAAACTACCACCCATGGGTCAAAATCCCACCCGCCACTCCTATTGAAATGCAGCCACAGACATTTGTGTATATGGTGAGCTGCAACAACAGAGTTGAGTATTTGTGACAAAATGTGACCTGCAAAGCCTAAAATATTTACTATCTGGCCCTTTACAGAAAACGTTTGCCAGCCCCTGGTCTAAAATAATGGTTAGGTTTGTTTTTGGTCTTTCATTTGTCTTTCAATCCTTAAATTCTGATTTTAGTGTGCTCCTTTGTGCACACAGAGAAGCAAGGTAGTATAATGGTAGGGGAAATATACTCCACCTGGATTTGGATTCTGGTTCTGTCACTTACCAGCTGTGTAACTCTGGGCAGGTTACTTAACTACTCTGTGCTTTGGCTTCCTTGTCTGTAAAATGGGGGTAAAAATAATACCTTTTTCGTAGGGTCATCATGATGATTCAATGAGTTAATGTACATAAACAATTTAAAAGAAGGTATGGCACCGAGTAAGTGCTAAATGTTTATTATTATTGTGTCCTAGATGATTGTTTGTCATAGGCATATAAAATTGAAAATAAATGGATTGTCTTAAAAAACTTATTAGTAAGGTTAAGATTTAAATAATATAAAGTAGGACTGTGCAAAATGATTTTTATCTCATGACGATCCTTTCAGTTCTCTTAAATTAATACGACACGTCTTGCCTTTTCAGCTGTTGTGGATGAAATCCACTCACTGATAGAGAAGAGCCGAAGACTGATCATTGTCCTAAGCAAAAGTTACATGTCTAATGAAGTCAGGTATGAACTTGAAAGTGGACTCCATGAAGCGCTGGTGGAAAGGAAAATTAAAATAATCTTAATTGAATTTACACCTGTCCGTGACTTCACCTTTTTGCCCCAATCGCTAACGCTTTTGAAATCTCACAGAGTTCTGAAGTGGAAGGCTGACAACTCTTTTTCCTATAACTCAAGGTTCTGGAAAAATCTCCTTTACTTAATGCCTGCAAAAACATTCAATCCAGGCAGAGATGAATCAGAAATCTTGCCTGTTCTTTCAAAGCCTTGATCTCCAGAAAAGCTGAATGTCAAAAAGAACTCCAGATACGCTGGGATTGAGTGTAAGAGGCTGTTCACAACAAAGGCCCTTATTCAAAATACTTAACTCTATCACAATTCCACTCAACGTTTGAAGATGAAATGTGTCATTAGGTTGTCGGGAATAAGACTAAACGTTGAGCTGTGGTCATGTGTTCCCAGAAGATCCTGGAATTCAAAAGAAGTGAATCTCCTTTTTCTCCCTTGTCCATAACTGGATGCAGCTGTTCACACTTAATCCCATACTCAGCAAACGTGAGAGTGGGCATGATGCAAAATAACCGATGCCTTCCAAAAAAGGCACATCTTTAAGAGTTTTTAATGCTAGTGATTAATTTGAGAGAGAGGATATTAAGGGCAGGAAGAGGCCATTTCTCTGAACCAGTGGGTGACAGAGTAACTGGAATGCTGCCTTCACTCCCCAGCACTGCAGATCTTGCATGAGATGTGGGAGGAGAGAGCTGGCGGGGCTGCCCGCAGAGCCCAGGAGTGCCTGGAGGGGAGCCTTGGCCCCAGCTGCAGACCAGCAGTTCTTGGAACCCCAGTAAGGCACTGGGCACAGAGCCTGCTTATTTGAACCTATTTATGGGAACTTCTTAAGGGAAACCCAAAACATCTTCTCTTTCATAAGAGACACAAATTTTAATTCAATTAAAAGAAAAAAAAATCACATGTTTAAAATACCGCAAGCATGGAGGCAACATCATGGCGGTTAAGAGTGTGGGCTATGCAGCCTATCCTGAGCTCCAATCCTGCCCTTGGTACTTAATTCTGCTACCTCCGGAACTTTATCTAACCTCTCTGTGCCTCAGTTTCCTCATCTGTAAAATGAGACTTTGTAATAATTGTACCTACCTCACAAGGGTACTAAATGAATAAATATAAGTTCTTACCAAAGTTCTTGGCACAGACTTAGCACTCTGTAAATGTTGCCATTACTGTTATTGTTATTATTACCATCATTAATTATTACTAAGATAATTATTCAGCTAAATGGAAGCCACAGGGCAGTAAAGGCAAGCAGATCTAGAGAGGAAGGCAGTTTTGACTTGAGGACATTTGCATACATAGAGAAGCACATAGGAAAAGCGTATGGAGGGGACAGAAGCTGTTTCTCCATTGGACATCTGCTACTTTTGACGATGCCAGACAGACGTCTGTCTCCCTAAGGTGACCCCAACACCGTGGGCCTTCTTCATGGCCTCAGATGTCATGGCTATCCATGAAAAATCACTGAGTATGAAACCATTAGTTCGGAAGGCTGGTTAGGACATAGGGGAGCAGCATGAATGTTCTAGAAAAGTTTAAAGCAGAGACTTTAAAACAGATTGAGTAGATACTGCTGAAAATCAAAGAAGTATGAGATTTTCTGTGCAAGAAAGTGATTTAAGTTTTGTAGTGCTTATGATTTTGTGTGCCAATTGGCTGGCTAAAAAGAATTTAATTAATAATTTATTTTTTATATGTAAAAATATATTAGTAAAATATACAATCAAAAGAAATTTTATTACAATAATCATAGTCTTTAATACATAGAATGATTTTGCTTTTTTCTTTTATTATGCATGCTTTAGAATACATTAAGTGTATTTTGTATTAAATGCATTTGTATTCAATGTGTTAAACATGTACATTAGATGTGTGCTTTAAAATACATTGAAATACATTAATGAACCGTTGGTCTAATGCCTTTATTTTTGAAATGTCTCAACGTCTTTATCACTTACTTTAAGATTCTAATCCCTCATTCTCAACATATACGCCTATCCATTTTAATAGACTAGGAGCCATTCAGAATAACTACATCTTTCTCTTGTTAAATGTCACATTTCTTTGTTCCTACCTTCTTTGTTTACATTCCATCCAGGAACAAAAGAAGAATTCCCTTCCCTCTCTTGCAAGGCCACTCAGTACTAAACACAGGCACTTACATGTGCTAGGCCTTCACATGCCAGTTAACTGATGTGCATATTTTAAAATTCCAGTTCAAACATTCCCAAGCAGAGCTAATAAATAACTTCTGAGGTATAGAACATCTTTCTCTTCCACAAGTTCAGATGTCCTTAAACTGTGAAGTCTATTTCGGAGAATCACAACGACCAACACGCGAGGATGTGTAAAGAAACACCTCATGGATGTTTGTCAACTGCTAGAAGCATTTATTAAATTAGAGCTATATTCTCTCAAAGCGGAGAGAAACCTTATGCCCCACATATGGCAAACCCAGGAAGCTGAGACACGGTGAGTCCACGGACTTGACCACAGTCATGCCCTAGCTGTGACTGGGCTGGGACAGAAAAGTGTACCGTCTCCTCTTTATAGAACTGCCTGTTGGAGAGTGAGGATGGAGGGAAGTATCTTGGAGGCTGCGGACACTTTGTTGGGGAGACAAATTACACTCTGAGGGCCCAGGGCTGGGTACTGTGGAGACGAAGCCGGCTGTTTAGGACTGGCTCAGAGGAGGAGAAGACAGTGACAGGCCTTCTCACTTCAGGAGTCCCTCTAAGCCATTAGGGGCAAATAAGCATTCAAAGGCAGGATAGGATGAAAGCGTACCCTTGCCTGGAGTATGTCCTCTGTGGCATCTGTTCAAATACAGGGTTTTGGAACCCCCAGCAGGGGCTAGGAGGTGGCCTGTGTTGGGCTTGCTAGCGTTCTCAGCAAGGTGCAGAAAGCAGGCAGCTGTCTGAAGTGGGGACGTTAGCAACAACAGTGGCCAAAGCTGAGTTGAATCATAGCTTTAAATACTCAGAGGAAATGACCTGTCTCCCTGGCCTGATGTGCAGCTGTGAGGGAGGGGCTTTCGCATCTGGGGAAACCATTTTTCTGAGCAGAAGCTGCTCTGAAAGGAGGGATCTCCAGCAGTGGAAGAATCTTCAGAGAGTGGCCCTGCCACAGAGCTAACAGGAAGCGGCGTGTGCGTGCACCGTGGGCAGGACACATGGCCTGCCGCCTGCAGGCACGCAGGCTGGTGGTGATCTCAGTGTAGGCTGGCAGCTTCCAGACCAGCACCCATATACCTATGTGAGGCTTTTGAAAACTCATTTTTATCTCTTTCTGGAATACCCTGTGGGTGCGCACATACACCCAGGGAGCACCATACCTCATTTATGCAATTGCTACAACTTGATGCATATGTTTCATCGTTAATGGCGAACGTGTTAATAGACTTTTGAATTGTGTTTGGGAGTCTTAGGGTTCCTCAGAGGTGCCTCAGGGACCATTCTGAGATGGTGGGATGGAAGATTGGGGGACATGTGAGCTGGGTCCCCCTTCACCTCACCACTCCCTCCAAATGTACACAACTAGAGCCACGCTGCTTTTAACCATGTTGTATGTCAAAGTCTCACATAACATTTTGTTTAACAAGATAGAGTACCTCTGAAAAGGTCATGATTTAGGTGTAATGAACATAATTCTCTCTAGCTAGTTTAAACAGAAATGGTTACAGAATTGTTTAGAGAGATAAAGAAGCCCACTTTAGGCTCCTTTTCCAGGGATATCCTCCAAATTCACACACAGGAAAAAACCTGGGCTGCCAAAAGTGCTGCTGATGTTGCCACAGCCAGAAAGAGATATGTGCGGTCTGGAAGCTCCTGCCGCAGCCCAGCTCCAGAACCACACAGGCTGCAGTCCAAGTTGATGGAGAGGCCCCGAAGGTGGAATTGTTGAGGGCTGAGAAAGCCCATTGTTTCTGTGCACTAACTGGGAGCACTAGGAGCAAGAGTTTTGCATGACAGTCTTAGCAGGGGGGAGGCTGGGCACTGCCTCCCAAATGCCAGCAGAGATGGCCTTAGAGATGCTGCCTTCCAGTCCAAGTCATTCGTTTTAGATGCTCTCCAGGTGGCCACTATTAAGATGAGACAGAGGAGGGAGCGGCAGAGCACAGAGGCCGGTAAGTCAATGCCTTGAGGCCTAGAATCTTTCTCCTGAAGGACACTGGGCTCTGGTTCCTGGCACGTGGAACTGAACCAGAAGGTATCTTGGTCATAGGGTGACCTTGGAAAGAAATAGACTAAGGCCACTTATGTTGCGCTTGGTACTGCTTACAACCAGACCTCATATGGACCAACACAACCTCTAAAACATGCCTGAAAAACAACTGCACTGTGAATTTAGAATGATTATCTCACCTGGCCTCTGAAAATGAAAGAATGAATAAATGGGTTTTTAGAAATATGTATGGCACAAGAATCAGCTTTAAAATCTTCAAAAGATTTGGTTGCATTATCTATACTATATTCAATGATCATTTACACTATGTGCAGAAGGAAGTTTAAAGATGAATGAAGGTGTTAGGAAAATATGAGCTATAATTGGGATGCATTTTTAACAAATATATATGAAGTTAGCATCCAAATGAGAGTAGTTCTCTTCGAAGTAAGCACCTAAGTAGATCACAGACTTTCTAAAATGGTTTTCTTGAATCAAACCACTTTTTAAAATTCGTCTTTAGAAACTAACAACCCAAGGCTGATACTCTTACATTTTCATTCATCAGTAAAGTAGATATTTTTGAAATTATCAAAGTCACTTGAGCTAAGCCTGATGAATAATGTTGATAATAAAGTTGATTTTTT